TTCTATACAGGACTCGTACATACTCTGCCAGCAGTTTTACACCACAATAAAACCAATAGCTTTCCAGGTCACCAACATAAGGATCCCTTTAGGTATTTCACTACTCCAAACTTCAGTTCACCGATCGATCAAACGTTAAAGTTCACATGTTTTCCTGTCGCCATTTATTTGACAAATCGGTTAAATATTCACGCGTTATTAGGTAAACGTGTTGCAAAGCTTGTCATGTGTGAAATCATATTTAGGACAGGATTTTACTGAAGACATTCATATTTTCTTTAAGTGGGATAACTTCCTCCGTCTTGGTTTGGTTTCCTCAGTGGTAAGTGACCTGTTCTGTATCACCTTCTTACAGATGATCTTTTTGCATCCATGCGGTGTGGAGGGCGTAGTGAATAGTGGAATCAAGTGTGTTGCGGATTTGATCCGTTCATCGTGTCGGGCTGCGACCACGAGGCCTATTCCGGTCACAACGAGTCTCTCTAAGTTGAATTCATCTTTCCTTGTAATGTGGCCGAAGTATTTAAGAACTTTGAACTCTACTGAGTCAATCTATATGTATTTATTGTTTCACCCATATACTAAATAACTGTGCTGTCTGTACTTCTACCTGCCTACAATGAATAAAAGGTGAGTTGTTATGTTATTCACGCATTATTAAGTACCGTGTTCGAAGGTTATCATGTGTGAAAAGAAAAAAATGAACGCGATTCTTTTGATGCGTGAAACAAAAAACTAACGGTGCGAGCGTCAATTATTTTAAGCGAGTCGGCTCGACGAACGTTTAGAATTTTATGTGTCAATAAAATATAGGTTTAATGTTTTCGTATTTTGAACGTTTTTCCGTGATGACATACATTTCCTTTGGCCATTTTCTTTTGTTTCGGCTTTTTAAGGGTCATTGCGTTGTTTTTGTTTTGTTTTCGTTTGAATTTTCATATGTATAATGTATAAATTGGTGTAGTATTTAGGAAATAAAAAAACAGATTAGAGGTCGATGTCCAAATTAATGTTAGCTAATCAAACCTAAATATATACTTTTAAAAATTGACTTTAAAATTATCATTGATTGTTGAACTTTTTCTGAGTTGTATAGCTTTACACAATTTGCGTATTAGCGTGACACAATTTTGTATAATAAAAAATAACCGAATAATAAAATAAAGGAACCACTTCCAATAAAGACACTACGATTTTATAACATTTTATAAATACTACGTCCTACATACCGCCATAAATATGCAGCTTTATTTATATTTTTCTTTTTTCGTCCCCACGTGACATCGCATGACTATAAACAGTGATTCCACCATAAAATATTTATGAATGCTATTTGCATGATTTGAGCCCTAATTGTATGTAAATATGTCTCAAATCTCAATGTTATAGACCTCTACACAGAGATAGTGGAATTTATGAGTCGTTTAGTGCGTACTGTGGTTTTAGAGATAAGGAGACGCGTATAACTTTAGGGATAGTCGTAACATGACACGTTTCTGGAAATCTTGTGTTCCAAGAATGTGTAGATAGAGAAGTCATTCGCTTAATCAATTTTCGTCAGCCATATTAGAAAGTATTGTTTTTATTGCATATATTTTTTTAATGAGACAAGCCCGCCACATCCTCCCAAAACTGTTGCAACTCCTGTAAGCCAGGATCTACAGTAGATACCATACAACCATGAAAACACCGGAACACTGAAGTCCGGCGCAGTCCAGGGACATGAGTAACTGTCTTGGTTCTCGCAACATAGTAAATCAGAAGATATTATAAGAGGAGAGAGAAAAAACGACACTTTCCACTTCCCTCGGTGAATTACTGCACGAGACAGAATGAATTAAGCCTAAAGGCATAAAAAGAGACTGTACAATTGCATAATTTATTTAATTTGATTCTGATATTTACGTATATCGGGAAATAGAGAAATAATGATTTGGTTCAAGGAGGTTTAGCGCCGGTTTCACTACATCCATATAGGTACCTGATAAACTTATGTGACAGTTAGTTCATACAAATAACGTTCTTAATTCAAATTTATCTGGTAGATAACGGACTGCCAGAGTAGGACTGTTTCACAG